TTTCTTAACACAGCTGTTGGATGTATAGCAAATTTCACCGTGGAAGCCGGCGGTACTCTCGAACTTCATTCACCTAACTATCCGTCCAATTACCATGACAACGAATACTGCAAATGGATAGTTTCCACCGTTCCCGGTTATGTGTTACATATCCGATTCAATTATTTCTACACCGAGTTCCGCTACGACATCATCACCATCGGAAACCGCAACGATGTTAACGACGTTGGATCGAGGGTCCTGGAAACATCGGGAACGAGAGAACCGATTGACTTCAAATCATCGAGCAACGTAGCCTGGGTGACTTTCTCCAGTGACCACGAAAAAACAGAGAAAGGATTCTCACTGGATCTCCGATCAGATTCTATATTTGACGGTAAGATCTAAAAGCTATGAACTTGTTATTTTGTTTAAATGTAATGAATATTATTTAAAGATGAAATTGGGATGTATTTATAATAGTATGTGAGGTGGATATATTAAGATGCATGGTACAACAGAAGGAAATTTGCCGTAACACACTCTTTGCGTCACGCACAAGTAGTATCCACTGAGTGACTGGAACTATTGCTGTGTAACTGCGCAAGCGCTTTTTTATTGGCACCTATTATTCGTTCAACAGGCATAATCATCTGTGTATTTCGTTATTCCCTCGAACGGATACTATCTGCTTTGTCTGCTGCAAAACTTTTCTAGTTTTATTAAATTTATTATAGTTTACGCTGTTTTTTTTCCAGATATTGACGAATGTAACAGTTTCCCGTGTCAGAATGCTGGTACATGTGTCAATGGTCTGGGCATGTACGAGTGTTTTTGCTCTGCTTCTTATATGGGGATTAATTGCGAAACACCAACAGGTAGGAGAACTATTTTTCACAAATGCACACTGGCTTATGACAGATGATAATGAATGTGAGTCAGATGGTGGACTGGAATGAATACAGAGAGAAGCATGCTAGATGTGTAGTTTTTGTATTTTCTAATTTGTTATCTTCCCTTAAATAAATATCAGACGCCCCAAAGACTGAGGATATTCACATTGTTTGTAAACATAAATATTCTTTATTTTTATTATTAATTAAAACTTTTTTTTCCTAGAAATCAACGAATGTGCAAGTTCACCTTGTCCGACCGATTATATTTGTCTTGATCTTCAAAATAGCTTTGTGTGTATCTGTCCGGAAGGAGTCACTGGTCCTCAATGTAACCTAGGTACGAATACGTTACTTAGCCTGTCATAACATATGATTTTTAGAATCAAATATAGTCTTTAGCTAGCATTTATTAAATGTCCATGTGTTGCACAGTATATGTTGCCATTGAAGTCTGAAATGATGTTTTAATTTTTTGGCATTAATGCAATGCAGTTCACTGTCGTGGAAAATCAAATCAAAATATCAATTTGTTTTCATTCCAATAGGCAATTGTGGCGATTGTTATCTGATTTCGCAATTTTGATATCAACATAACGTACACAGACACGTTGTATAAGCTTACACTATACTGGCTGATGTGGATGTTTTAATGTTTTAAAATACAATTGTTTATATTACCTTCGTTGCAGAGTTCAAAGCTTGTGATACCAACCCATGTTACAATAGTGGAACATGCACGGATATACCGGGGATTGGTTATGAATGTGACTGTGCTTCTGGATGGACTGGATCAACCTGTGCCCTGGGTGTGTATTTTTATTGAAATATTTAGCGATCGCAATTTCTGATAATAAAATTACTGGGAGTTGCACATTGATAAAACTGTTATGCATATGCTGTCGTACAATTTCATGGACCCGTGTTCAGAGTCCTGGTTAATAGCTTTTTACTGACCAATACAATGTACTATGTTTTCAATGTATTCATGCACGCAACAGTGTCACCGAACAAGACGTTTAACGGTTTCTACATTTTCTTGGTTCCAGATATTGACGAGTGCTCCAGTAACCCGTGCCAAAATGGCGCCACTTGTGTGAATCAGAAAAACCGATACGTATGTTATTGTAGAGACAATTTCGACGGAGTGAACTGTCAAAACTGTGAGTATAACTTTCCTTCTGTTGATTGGTCGACTATTTCACATCCTCTTATCACATTTGTCGTCGTTTGATTAAATTATATACTATAAGTAAGGTTCTTACTATTCTCAAAATATCCACACAGACAACGGACCCCCGGGATGTGCTTCGAGTCCATGTCGTTACGGAAGTGCATGTACGAATATTGGTGAAAATGCATTCAAGTGTGACTGCATAAGCGGGAAAACTGGAGAACTGTGTGACGAAGGTAGGCAAAACATTTCCGCACATACCCGGCGACACAAACATTAACAGATTTCTTTATAATTGGAGCAGTTCTTTATTATACAGATATAAATCAGGGCCACGTGATATACTTGTTCTTGTACGTCATCAAGTCGTCCATTTTATTCATTCTAATATATAGATATTATAGAGTCTTACAATTACTCGTATCTGCCAACTATTTTTCCATGTAATTGTTTGATTTAATGTACCCAGAAAGCTTGCACATTTTATAGACGTTTTGCAAGTTCGTGTGTGCAAAGGTTCGGGACCAATATAATTCTGCCTTGAACGAGCCTGGTGACGTAATCGAATGAGAGCATGAACTTTTTTTCCCGGCATATCAAATGTCTTAGTCATTCAATGGGTGAGCAAATATTTCTGTGAGTGGCTAAATTTTGAGATAAATCACTGATTTATTTTAACGTGACGTAATTTTATTGAAACCAACAGATATCAACGAGTGTTCATCGAACCCATGCATGAATGGCGGAACGTGTCAAAACCGTGACAACAGCTTTACGTGTATATGCAGGGGATATTATTCCGGAAGTCGATGTGAGCTGGGTAAGTTTATTTTTATATTTCATTATCTGTCTGTGCAGAGTTGTTGGAGTGTGGTCTATGTATAATTCTACTTTGTCTCCCCCATCATCAAGAGAACAACTTGAACGTCGTGTTGGCAACGCAATTAACTCTTTCCCCTTGTGTTCTTTTGCAGCGGGCTGCCAGACCAATCCATGCAAAAATGGCGCTGCGTGCACGGAACAACCTGCTTTGGAAGTCGTGTTGTGCACATGCCCTGCAGAATATACGGGGACTTACTGCGAAAACCGAAAGCCAGAGATGTGTACGGCCATGCAAAATGACTGCAAGAACGATGCCATGTGTATTGTGATTAATCAAGAAGATATTATCTGTGGGTGTAAAGCCGGATTTACTGGAAGCAAGTGTGAGCTAGGTAAAGCTAACCACGTCATTTCATGTTTAAAACTGTAGACTCGATTTCCAGTCTCTGGTGTATCATAGTTGTCATTTCTGTTAATTATACTGCCCTCAACGGTATATTTTATTATATACAGGGACACAAAAAGCGGCTAGTTGGGCGCCGTGGCCATGTCACAGTAGCATAGCAACAGGAAACGAGTCTATTTACTATGTAGTTAGGGCACATAAATACAATTGTTGCAATACTAGTCTATAGTGTTTGTGAATGCAATACAGATGTATGCAAATTAGATGATAAATATTCCCAAATTTGTCACATTTAAACAGATTTGGATGATTGTGGTAATCAATGTAAAAACGGAGGAACATGCGTGGATAAACCAAATGGTTTTGAATGCACGTGCAGACCTGGATACACGGGAGATTACTGTGAAAGCGGTAAGACACTTTATTACATTATTTTTAAATCATTCGATCGCATATAAAATATATGTAATTCTCAATATGGTTTCAAGTAGTGAGCTCTAATTATGACCTGTGTGGGTAAACCGCATTATATTTACGTAACTGTAAACCGACCACACTTTTAATGTAAATTGCTACAGTTGTATTCACATGCAAGA